CCCACTGACTGAACAGAGCAATTAATGGATTCTGACAGAGAGCGATGGAGAAACGGTGAAAGAGCCGGAAAGAGAGAGGAAGAGGACAGGAAGGAGGGGAGGAGAGGGAGTCTTCAAAGCAGGAGGTACTTGATGGAGAGGGGGAGGAAGGGGAAAAAGGGAAGGAGGAGACAACGAGAAGCAAAGAGATGCAAAACTGCAATGTTTGCAGAAGGAGGCTCACTCCCTGAGTAAACCAGATGCGTTTTTTAGGTTAATGCTGTTCTTGGGTCTGATAGATGATGGGCAGCAGGCACAATCTTTAGCAAAGTCAAACCCTTGCAACTAAGGTCAAACAGCACAGGAACAAAGATATATCATGGGGCGTACCTGTGGAGCAGCAGACGTACACACGTAGTCTGAGACAGCTGCGTCCATGGTGATGAGTAGGAGTGGCTGTGCAATAAAAAAAAAAAAAACAGCAGATAAATATTGGGGGAATCCAACGGAGGGAGGCTTGTTTTCTCTTGTTTGTAGCAGTTCTGACTACAGTCAAACTACAAAGAAACTAAGCCCCAGAGTTTTAATCAGCAAGTGATGTCATAGTATCTTGCATCTCTGCAACTAACGATTATTTTTTCAAATCAATAATTAGTTGATTATTTTTTGATTGATCGATTAATAATTGGATGGTCAAAGGTTCCTGAAAGAAGATTTTTGAAAGAAAATTAAACCAGGTGAAGCTAAAACTTTTCCACTTAAGGAGTTCTGTATGGAGCATATTGACAGGCAGTTTTTTATTTATTTTTTAATCTTAAATGTAAAATGTTTGTGTTTTTTTAAAACAATCGTGGTATAATTGCTGCTATAGTGGGTTGCTCTGTCAAATAAAGACATGTTTTAGAGTCTCTATACTCCAATAAACCATTAATTGATAACTAAATTAGTTGACCATTATTTCAATAATCGATTAATCATGATTAATCTTATTAATTGTTTCAGCCTTAGCTTTAACACATCTTGGATTTATCAGCTGTTGTGAAACCGAATAAAAAAAAAATCAAAATGCAAAAGCCTGTTAAAGGTTAAGATTACCCAACAATCCCACATAATTATGAACATTTTAAAAACTTTTATTTAAGTGGAGGGTACTTTTATCTAACGATGATCTAATGGTTAATGAGAGGCTGAGGCTGATCACATTACTTACAGACAGAAAACAAAAGTAGCAGTGTGTCAACTGTTAAATTAATTTTAAAACAAGAATTCTTTATATTCAGTGGCCAATTTATTAGGTATCTATTGATGGAAAAGGCTTTTTTTTTTTAAGCTCTAGTCAGACTGACTTTTATTTTGCTCCAGACTTTCAACATACACCACGTACACAGAAACCTTTTCAAACGAAAAAAATGTTACTGTTCTTTAATGTTAATGTTCAGCCTTATGCCAGAAAAAGCACCAGTGTAACTGGAACTATTCAATGTTTTACTCATTGTCTCTCACACATAGGATGTAATGTAATTATGAACATTTTAATCTAAAAAAAAAACAATGAAATGTCATTAAAATCACGCTTTTATTTATTTATTTTATTTCACAATAAAAGCTAAAGTAATTTTTATTGGAAAGATAGGACCTCTGGAAGGCTGGTGGCATAGGGCCCTATGGGTGGTTGCTTAGTGCCTGGGATGCATTAGAAGAGGGAGGGAAATAACTCAGATTAAAACATACCATTTCCCAGTTACATTCTGAATAATGTTTTTGTCTTTTTGAGTTGGTGCTAATGAAAGGAGAACAGAAATTTTTCATGACATGATTGTAGAGTACTATAGTCCTGCCCCAGAATTGAGATAATTTCCTAGATTTTGATTGGTTGGGGGAAGGGAGAAGGATGGGCTGACCCACAGCACCATTCATGCAAGAACTACCACCATGTCTGTAGAAAACCATCCAAAGAACTCTATTGCTCAACTGTCTACAATATGAAATAAACAACAAAAATATAGCATGGAGGAGATAACACTTTTGTTGTACATTGATTGTTTCAGTAAAAACCAAAGTAGCACTCATAGAGCAGTGAGAATTAGATTTAATTCGGCTAATTTAGTTTCTGTTTAATGTCTTTCTGATGGGTATCATGGCTAACTAGGACACCTAAATAAATCAGACCCATTCTTAATAACATTTGCCACCTGCACTGTTTCTGCACTTTCAAATGAAAACATCTCCTGTTTAAATAATCCATAAAAGATTTGCATTAAAAAAAAAAAGCTTTTGTTTTCTCTTTATCTTAAGCAAAGACACATTTGGATTATTTACCCAAAGGACTCCTTTAAATATGATATAATACAATTATTTGATTATTTTAAGCTAGTTTTCAAGTTTTGAAAACAGCAGACAAAGGAGAACAAAACAAAGACTGAGGCAACTTTTTGTTAGTGACAGCGCAGAGCATCATTACTACTGCGGTCTAGCAGAGCAGAACATCATGGAGACATCTTCTATTAAGCGTGGTGAGGCGAATAGTCGCTGCACTGATTATAGAAGTTTGTTTATGACATTTGTTGTTGAAATGTTTGCTGATGAGCCCAAAGTTCATTACTCATATGGTGTCATTTCTGCACAAGGTGCTGCGAGTTAATTTAATGAGCAGTCAACAAAATGAATGAGTCTGCTTGACTGCAAGGTTGTGTGATTAGATGTGAAGCAGCAGTTTGTTATCCTGAAATGATACTGTGTTCTATTTAGCTCTATAGTTGGATCTGGGACCAACATGCTCTAGTTGCGAGCTGAAAAACCAATGGGATTTGATAATTGCATAGCTCACTGATAAGGCTAACTACAGAGAGCAATAGCAGCATATGAAATATACTTTTCTATATGTTATGCTTCCAAAAAAAATGTAAAGGCTCTATTGGGCTGCTTGTAGGACTGCTCTAATGAGGCGCAAACTATTTGAGTGATAGATAAAACTTTTTATAGTCAGTTATCATTTTGGAGTGAAAAACTTTAGAAGTAAGATTGAAACTTAAAGAGCATTTAAGAGTGTACACTTGGCAATCGGATGGTGACTTAAATTAGTTGATTTTCAGCCTGAAAGACTGAAATGTAATACACAAGAACATTTAGATCATTTACAGGCTCAGGGATCACAGGAAACATCAATGTCTTCACTAACAACAACAATCTTTGGAGCAGAAGACATCACTGCAAGAAACCTCTGATTTGGCAGTGTGAAAACAGACCATTTCACAGTTTTGTTTTTAAATCTAGTGTGCTACAACATATACGGTAAATGTGTTCTTTGATATTCATACTATCAGTAACAAAAAATACATAGATAAAATAATCTGAGGATTTGTTTTATTTAACCCCTAACTTTTCCAGGAAATAACTCAAATGAGATCAATAATCTTTGTAACATTTTACAGCAAACATCATTTATAAATAGTGAACATACCATTTATTATTAATTAAAAGATACTATGTTAATGTTTGATAATTATTTATAAACAGCATCTAAACATTTTATAAAAGGTATCCCTGCTATCCCTAACTCTAACATCAGTGAGCTTATGCCTATCCCTAATCTGATTGAATTATATTGGCCTGCCATGTTGATTTAGCTTTACCTAACATCAGTAGGTTTATTGCATCAATAAATGATCTATTAACCTTTATAAATTATTTAGATGCGGTTTATAAATGATTATCAAACATTAATAAACTATCTATTAGTCATTGATAAATGGTCTCTTTAGCATTTATAAAATATGGAAAACCTTGTAATATAGGGCACACTGCATTTCCACATGAGCAAAAATATGATTTAAAAGTAACAGAAGAGTTATAATCTGTTTTCTAAAGAATCAAATGAGGCATGATGTAATTATTCTTAGTGCTGGTATTTGCACAGACACCTCTTTTCCATGACCAAATGGACTGCTGAATTTTTTGCTATTTGAATGATAAGAGAGAGACTTTTCTGATGCTTAAATATATTTTTGTTAAATAAAATAATTTTTTAAACTTTTAAAACTGGTAAATCTTGCAACAAAATCTCTGAAGGTGTTTGTTTTTCAGTGAATTTCAAGCAAAAATAAAACAGTTTTAATAGATAGATAGATAGATAGATAGATAGATAGATAGATAGATAGATAGATAGATAGATAGATAGATAGATAGATAGATAGATAGATAGATTTATATTTATTAATTGTACTATTGTACTATTTATTAATTGTAGTATTATTATACTTTTAGTTGTTAGGATAATTATCATTGATAATATGTGAGTTTATTACACATTAATATTAGCTTCCTGTTGCGTGTCAGAACTGATGTTTTCACCAGTAGTTTATCTTATAAGGCCAGTTCCTCGGTCCGGCTATATACAGGTATAATCTTCCTTCCGTACGTGGCAAAGATTTGGGAATGAAATGAGATCAGTGTCCTTCAGCTAAGAACAAAGTGTCATATTTTGATAAGGCTGAGTCCAGGGATGTCTCCTCATCTACATATGTGTATGATGTAAAATTTGATGATGTGGCAGACTGGAGTTGTGTAAAATGCTTCTTTAACTGTTAATCATGGGCAATTCCCGAGAAGTGAGCCCGGTTGGTAAGCAGCTGCCTTCTCTAACTCTAAGCAATTAGTCTGATCTGGGTAAGATTAAAATTTTTATCAAAATCTGTTGTCATGTCTCATGGTTACTTAATACATATAAGTTATGAAGTGTTAATTAAAAAGTTTGTCCTGAGTGATCTCTTTTCAGGAAAACAAACCGGAGAGAGAAAGCTTCAAGGTATTAACACAGAGCTTACATTTAACAGTATGTAGTAATAAAATATATTGTAATCCTAAAAGGCAGAGTTTGTCAACCATTTCCTTTTAACACACACATTTCACTTCAAACCTTCAGCTATTTTTCTTTTTTATTAATTAACCACCCAAGAACATCAGATTTATAGACATAGTCACAGTGCAGGTTGACTCTAATTTAAATCCACTTACAGATGTAGTAGTACTCTTGGCCGACATGAAACTCATAGCCCAATGAGAAGGCGCTGTAGCGCTGGAACTTCTCAGAGAACTTGATAGGCGCGTGGGGGGCGTGGGGCCGGTTGCACTCCCACCTCTTGAAGCCCATTTGAGGGTCACAGTTCCTGTAACCACGGTAGCTGACCATGTAGAGGACGTACTGCTCTCCTGTGCCCACCATGCGCTGGCTGTCATTGTAATGAGGGCAGTAGATGTCTAGGTAGTCGTTGACGTTCACCTGCATCGTGTAACCCTCCCTGCGAAGACTGAACAAAAGGATAAAAACACAGTGAGTATGAGCATCTAGGAAAAGTACAGACTTTTATATTTAGAGTTCATCTTTTTTACATGAAAGAGGACTTTTTCACTTTCCTCTAAAATGAGACTTTTTAAACATATAGTATATAGTTAATATAAGTAAAATATAAGGAAAACAATTAATTTAAATATGAATAAATACACTGTTAATCAAAAGCACAGCCTGGGGAAAGAATCTGTATCTCTGGTGACTGGTTTTTGAATGTTGTGCTAACCAGAGAATAAAAGCCTCAATGTTTTGTTTCCAGGATGTTTGGGGTCCGCAGAGACGTTTGCAGTTGTTTTCCTGCCCTTGACCCGTTGAAGTGAGGAAAGGTCTGCCCTAATGACCCGCTCTGCAAACCTAACTGTTCTTTGTAGTTTGGGTCTTTCCTGTTTTCAGAAAGTTCACCAATCACTGTCTGCCAAACCAGACTCTGGACAAGCAAACGTTCAAGGTCACAAAAAAAAAATGAAAGCTTAAAATAATACATCTACAAGCTTATGGTTCTTGCAAATGAAAATCGAAATTAAAATTGCAATACTTGAAAGGTATACTTTTTAAATTTCTTTAAGACTTCTAGTCTCTGCCAGGCCTTCTTACAAAACGTGTGTGAGGCCCAGTTCAGGGTTAAGCTCCAAAAGGAACTTGTCTTTATAGAAAGGTATCATAGGTCTGTAACAGACTAATGAAGGATTTTTGCAGGTAGGTCTCGGAAGGTCTTGTGGTTTGTTAATGAACAAATAGCAGAATGAAGAGCACATCAGAAAAACCAGGGAGAAAGTTACAGAGAAGTTCAAAGACGGTAATGGTAATAAAACAATTCAAGGCTTTGAACATCCCATAGAGACAGGAAAGGAAAATTTCAATCACAGCCAGTTAACTGAAACAGCTGTAAAGGTTTGGAGCTCAGATAGAAAAATGTTTGAAAAATGCTAAGTGGGAAGGAAAACCTACAGTTCTAAGCCACCCTGAAAACACCACTCGTAGTGTAAAACATTGTCGTTGCAATATATGCATAAAAAAAATAATAATTATAAAACATTTATAATAAAACATTTTACATATGTTTAATATGAAACAGCAGACTGAATTGATGTGAGACTTGAAATCTTTTAGTATTTCAGCACTTTAATGAATGTGCTATTTGTCAGAAGACTAGGATTTACAGTTACAAACACATTAGACATTTAGTCAGCGGGTAAAATACCACAAAGCTTTGATACAAATGCATCAGACCGTGATGCTTGAATGCTTTCTGCAGGAATGTCTTGGTCTTAGTCTGACACTTATCCAGATATTAATAAAACAAAGCAGGTGTGCTTGTGTGTTCATTCCTCCAGGGCTATTGTATTTAAAGAACACAGAGCTTCCTCTTCAGGATGGACTCAAGGGCCCAGGGCAACAAGCTTCTTCTTCTGGTGTCAGCGCTGCATTGTCCCCTAACCCCTGTGCTCGTACATCAACCAGAACACAAACGCTGCGCTCGCATCACCCGTCAAAGTTTGGGCAACATTCGTCTCCAACCTCCAAGCTCATATATCAGCTCCAACTCTAAAAAGGGCTCAGTTTGACAGGAAGATAAGGTCTGGTTTTGCAACTGTATGTGTGTGTGTGTACAGCAGACAACCAAAGGGCCTTTTCTCCCCTCTTTAAATGTATCGGCTGGTATTTATGTGACATAGACAATTTGCAGCTGTAAATCATACACACAACCATGAGCATATACGGACACTCAATCACTTTAAGTTTTAACGGTGACACCATAAAGTCACAAGAGGGCAGCAGAGTGCAATCTTTAGCCCCTCTCCCTGATTGCAAGTTCTAGGTCATGTCTCCCAGGAGATTATTATTCAATTATTATATGAAGATCGAACTCCTATTCCTGGTGTCTCTTTCTCTCTCTCTCTCTCTCTGCTTTGCTTCTCACTGCTAACTTAAAATCCTTCCTGAATTTGACTATTTCTCCCTCACTGCTATCATCCCTTTCTCTAAGGTATCAAAGGACAATGAAGAGGAACACTGTTTCCGCTGTCCTCTCACTTTTTGTCATTAAACCATTTACTGCTTTTACTTTCTAATGTCAGTAAAAACTAAATAACTGAAAATTGTCTTTTAAATTTTCATGGAAACTAGACCAGGAATATAAGGAATACAAATTATTGTATGTCCACCAGGGACATGTAAATGTAAATTAAGAGAAAAAAAAATAACTGCAAGAGTTCATATGAAACAGACTTAAAAAATATGCAGTTGTTGTATTTTACACTCAAACAAAGGCAGAGTTTACTGAGATGAACAGATAATGGGGGGAGGATTGCAGCTGGGGGCAACAGGAGAAAAATGAATGTAAATGACTTCTGAAAGATAAAAGCTGGTTGCAGGATTCCCACTGTGCATGCATGTGCATGTGGGCACACTTTGCTGTGCAGCACAAATGCACTAATATCTTTCGGGGGATGCAAACACCAAAAAGAAGTCAGTGGCATATAAAAAAATGCATATCAAAGTGCTTGCTTAGCATAAAACAATGTTGTTTTACATCAAGGCTTATCAGAAAATCAGACATGGACAATTTTATTGTAAGGTTAGATAGCAAGCAACATTAATGCAGGAGGAACTGTATGGAATTTGTATTCAGACAGTAACTTAAACTACCATACTTGCAATTCTATCTGTTCAGGACAAGACATACACCGCCTTCATGAGCTTTGTGCTTAAAATAAAAAGGTCCTAATGCATTCAGACAGAATAAAAATACTGAATAAACATAAGATCTGTACTGTCTTAAAGTAGAGGCTTTTTAGATTAAATCTCAAGGTTTTTGATCAAGATGGGGTAATTCCACATCTCACACTAACTTAGATTTAAAATCTAAAGGTTTTTTTTTTGTAGCTCAATAACAAATCTAAGTTTATGGACTCAAATGAGGTAATTGCATCTTCTTTGACTGTGATAGTTTTAGACTGTAACTAGCAGCACTAATATAATAAAAAATGTAAATGTTTAACTGTGCACCTTTGCAGCCCGTCGGCTCACAACAGAGCAATCTGTTGTTGGAGCGCTAATATTTTTAAGCACCTAGAGGCCCATCCTCCTAAGCGCATCCATTAAAATGCAAATGAATGACCCAACCGTGAGAACAACGGAAGGGTTACTGATTTGCATCTGACTTGGAACGTTCCAAGTACAGATCTGCTATGAGCCGACAAAAACTGACAAAGACACTACGATAGGTGTCAAAATGTTTTCAGAAAACTGTCTGAACTGTCAGAAAAAGTCTGGTTACCTCCAATTTAAGCCTGTTTTGTGGTCGCCATGACCCAGTAGACCAGGAATCCCCACACTCGGTCCTGGAGGGCCGCTGTTCTGCAGGTTTTAGAGGTTTCCCTGCTTTAGTACAGCTGATTATAATGATTGCAGTAGAGCAAAAGCCTGTTAATCAGCTTTCAATTAAAATCAGCTATGCTGGAGCAAGGAAACCTCTAAAACCTGCAGGACAGCGGCCCTCCAGGACCGAGTTTGGGGATGCCTGCAGTAGACTGTGAATGTGCACAGCTATTTCATAGTTCGATATACACAATGGTACACAAATGGAGAGATGTGATTTGAAACGGGAAAATGAGAGGGATTTGGTTTGTTTTCAGAATCACTAAAAGGTTTATTGATGGACTTTTCCAAATTTTTTAGAGAAGGTGCAAATTGTGACTCTCAACAAATTATTACATTTTGGTAATGATCCGGTGTAGGTACCACATCTGCTCGGCTGGTCAGACCTGTTTGGGGCCCTGCACCTTCTTATGACGCCAACATATGGTAACTCCACTCGGACAAACTGTATTACACCCTTTTCTTAAGGATCAAATCTCTTTTGGAGTGTCAACATATTATTACCTATATTTGTTATTATCTTACATTTCATTGATGATCTATAAGTGGTCGAAAGCAGAAAACAATCATTGTCAGTCTTGAAGGAAAGTACTGCATTCTATGACTGAGCTCTGCCATTTAACAAAGTGACAAAAAAGTCTCAGCTTATTTCTATTCCTTTTATTAAGAACTGGGCAGGGAAAGACAAATGGGACATTTTAAAAATGGACTTTCGTAGAGATTTTAGACAAAAAAAAAAAAAAAAAAAAAAGTTAATACTTGTTGGTGTTTCTCCTGACTGGACTTGGTAAATGGTTTAATTTTTCAGTTAACTCTGCGAGTCTTGAAATAAATCACGAATGTTATACATCACAGCTGAACTGACAAGACAATTAAGTTTCTAGTTTACGAAGGGTTAATATAACAAAGAACCTTTTTTAGGTTATATTCTGGGTATATCTTTGTCCGGTGCTTCTTAAAGGTCTGACTCCAGCTGCCTTTTGAATATATCCCAAACTCTTAAATCCCTTTAAGACTGCAGTTGTCTTAGTGTGTTAACTGCATTTTCCTTTCACATCTCTCCCTTTCACTAATCTTTTCAGTATTATATTTGGTGCACTATGAACATTCAGCTTTTCTCGTAATGACCATATTTTGCAGACTCTCATGTTTGTGGGGGCATCTCCAACATGTTTGTGGCCAGAAGTTAATCTTCCTATAAAATATAGGCATGAGTGACAATGTTTCAGAGACTAAATTTAAGATTTTCACTTGCTTTCAGACACAAACCTTAAACACTTTGTCATGCTTTACAGATATCCTGCATATTCATGAGATTAACCTTTTGATGACATTCTGGTTTATTGAGATGTAGCTTTATGTAATTGTTTTCTATTATTAGTAAAGAAATAAAACTTTTTACTGTTATTTTTGCACTAATTTATTCTCTTTAAAGTGTTACCTGCTTCGTTAAAGCGGATAAGAGTTCAGTCTAATGGAAAGTCTCTTCAGAAGTACACCTCGGAGGACTTGAAGAGCAGTTTGCAAGAGCTAACAAACACTTATATATAAACAGATCCTCCAGCAAGATGGAGAGATAGAAGGATCGGCAGGAGAGATGGAGGACTTATAAGATGAGACAAGGGGTAGTTTGGGTTAAAAGCAGCAGAGTGTGGCCACTGGGGAGCAGAGAGAGATAGCAACAGCTAAGAGCAAGATCAAAGAAGGCCTGGATCAATGTCACTACTGTAAAAATCACATCAGAGATGTGTGAGAGAGGGAGAGTTACAGAGGGCATGATGCCGATATAAATCAGTCAAAGGCAACATAATGCCAGAGAGTTACCCCCTGCCTGCCTATTATCTGCCTCGCCTCTCAGAGTATCGTACATCAATAAAACACTTTGACAGAGAGCGCAATTGGCCCATTTTGTAGCAGGAGCTTTAAGGACTGCCTTATTTTCTGCAGCTATTTATTAAAGACGGGGCTTTTGGGGCTATACTACTTTCAATGGTAGCTGCAAATATCTATGCACAAAATACTTACAATCTTATCACAGAAAAAAAACAAAAAAAACATGTAGCTGGTCATATGAAAATGGTTTAAGTTGCTACGTTCAGAGAAGATAAGCAGCGGATGGAGGTTGCCTTTTAAAATGACTTTAAATAACGGGATGAATACAGAAACAAGAAAGAAAGACAAGGATGCACAGCTGGAGTAGAAGACTCAGCTACTATAGCACAACAAATTACCTGGATCTTATTTTGAGCATTAGTATCACTATTAACATTGCAACTTACTGATCCCAATTCTGTATTGTTACATGTAGTACAGAACTTAATGGTACTAAGGTAAAAGAAGAATATGGAAACTAAAAGAGAAACGCACATCAGGGAAGTTAAGCAGACAGAAAAATGGTAAAATATTAAATTAATTCCAGTACAACATTTAGCATGTATGTTCTACATGTTTTATCGTTAAGCCTATATAATAAACATATGCCAGCAAATTAATACTATAAATAAGGTTGAAGAAAATATAAATAAAAAAAAAAACTTAACAAAATAAGAAATTAGAGAACAAACTACCAATAACTTCATTTCCAGACTGTTTTCAGACTATATATAGATATATAATAAAAAATTGATAGTAAAAATTGAACTTTATTGATCTCACATTGGAGAAATTTACCACTGCATTTAACCCATCCCCTTGGGAAGCAGTGGGCTGCCATCTTTGAGCGCCCATAACCACACTTTTAACCAGTGTGTGGTTACGGGTCTTGATCAGAGACCCATAGTGGCAGTCTGTGGGAGTGGGGCTCCAACTCAGAAGCTCAGGAATCCAAGCTCTATGCCCTAACCTCTAGGCCCCAGCACCAGGGACCATTTATGAAAAACATCCATTACCCAACTTTAGTAGAACTGCATAACAGCTGTAATAATTAGTTTGTTACAAATCTTTAGCAATATTTTTTTTCCCTGATTCAAATATATATATATTAGATCTTGTGATTTATTTATTTCTATATTTCCAGATATTTTTTGACACGGTGGGACTTTCAATTTAAGGTTAAAACACTGTACAAGTCTTAAAGTTTGTCATCTGCCCCTCCCTCCATTTGTTACTCATTGTTAATATTTAGTTTGATTTGTTGATGTTTATTGTTTTGTTTAAACCACGATTTGTGTAACATTTGTTATCATTATGTCACTTTTATCATATAAATAAAGAAGGGAAAGCAATATCAGCTTCAAAGATCAATTCTCCAAAATTCAGCAGCACATAGCACAATATTACACGGAAGCAAACAGCAAAAAATCATTATGTTGGATCATCTTTCTTTTTACCTTACCTAATTAACCTTAAAGCATGCTTACAACACATGCTTTACTTTAACTTATCAGCTATGCAAGTGACATCTTTAGAAATGTATAAGTATAAGATACAATTCTTATGGCGCCTTTTATATAAACAAAAAGTGTTTAAGAATAAAAAACTATATAAAAAAAACTATATTAAATTTTAATAAAATAATAATGTAGGCTGTTTAATTTATAAAAGAATTACACAAGGTGAAAGGTTCTATTAAAGATATTTAACTAGTTCTC